TATATACGGAGTTTATTTTGTGGAAACAAGGCTGACATTTTCAAATGTTTCAAATAATTTTCTTCTTTTCAGAGACACTGCTGAGTTGTTAAACTTGATTATTGATTTTGTTTTTATTATTAAGCTTTAATTAACCGGGCTAATCGAACATGCAAAGTCCACACAGAAACACCAGGTCCAAACCCAGGATCTTCTTGCTGTGAGGCAACAGTCCTAACCACTAATCCATCGTGCTGTCCTACACATATAAGTTTTAAATCGTGTGTCAGAAAATAAAATTATTAAAAGAAGAACGTTACGTTTAAAACAAAAAATAAAATCTGAATATGTTTATTTGAAGGGATGCAAACCGCCCGCTGCCTCGCATGCTAAAGATCTGGTCACCGACAGTTAGAGCTCAGTGTGTGTGTTGGGGACGACTCTCAGCTACTACCACAGCAGATTTGAGCACATCTGTAAAGTTAAACGATCATTTTTGTGCTTGCAGAAGTCAATTAGCTGCGGCAGCCATCTTGAACTGGATCGACACCAAACGTTAATGCGTTTTAAATCTACGTCCAATTATCACTGCCTGAAACTTTCATTAAAACCAGCGCAGTGGTTCATGAGATATTTTGCTAACTGACACAAAGACACACACACACGAAGTTACATGATCACCCGCCTGGCATGGCTGTGTGCAATAATAAAAGTCGAGATATTATAAGAAGTAAATTTCTACATTGTCACATTCACAAAAAGTGCCTCGAAAATTTTCCACCCCCCCCCCCTTATCTTTTACTGCAGCAGTTGCGTCATTTGATTTCAATATAAGATAAAGTAACGTCTTTGACGTCATGCTGATGGATAAAAATTGTGCATAATTTGTTTTCGACACGGGTTGAAAGTCATCAGTGAATCAAGCAATAAAAACAGTTTTGAAACGATACTTTAAGGTCAACGTTTGAAATTAAGACGGTGAACGTCCGACAAAGATCAAAGGATCTGAGAGGAAAGTTTAGATATGAAGATTTATTATTTTAAACATTTAGTTATATTTCTGCTGAATAAGCTGCAAGTCTTCTGCTGTTGTAAGAAAACAGTTCTAGATACAGGAACCATTTTTGCACCAAAATGTGGAGCAGTTGTTGTAGACCCATAGCACACCCGTTGACATGCAGGCCACAGCCCTGTAACCACCCAACGTCCCGGCATGAGACTGCACGTCAAGCAGCACCAACCCCTGACCAGACAACCCCCCAACATGACACAGCGCTCTCCAAAATGACACAGCACGCACGCCCCCCACCATGACACAGCATCCCCCCAACTTGACACAGCACGTGCCCCCCACCATGACAAAGCGCCCTCCAACATGACACAGCGCCCCCAACATGACACAGTGCCCCCCCAACATGACACAGTGCCCTCCAAAATGACACAGCACGCACGCCCCCCACCATGACACAGCGCCCTCTAACATGACACAGCACGCACGCCCCCCACCATGACACAGCATCCCCTCAGCTTGACACAGCACGCACATCCCCCACCATGACACAGCATCCCCCCACCATGACACAGCGCCCTCTAACATGACACAGCGCCCTCCACCATGACACAGCGCCCTCCACCATGACATAGCGCCCTCTAACATGACATAGCGCCCTCCACCATGACACAGCGCCCTCCACCATGACACAGCGCCC